AATTTAGTTAATTTTCAAATGTCTGCAGTAGTTATTTAGAGTGGGTATTTTACTAAAATGGTGCCATTCAAGTTAACAGCTGAATGTAAGTATTTCATCCTGATTACCCTGGTTGAAGGATGTGTGGCTAATGCATGCACAGCGGTGCCAAGCCTAGACTGGCATAAAGACTCCCTGCTTCACGATAAATTTCATTTATAAAAACATAGGTAAATATCTTACAGCTGAGACAACACAAGGATGGTGTTTTGAGCTGCTAGGTGTGTGCACAAGAGTAATGCAAATTGATTTATGTTTAGTGCAGAAATTACTTGGTCCTTTTAAATTGCTCTGGAAGACTGAGAATATTACTCTCATCAGCAAGGTTTCTGCACTTGACCAGCCTCCTCCAAATAATCAATTGCCTTAGTAATCATATTCCTCCTTGTTAAAAGCATTGGCAAAATGAAAGCCAATATGGTTTAGGTTTTCCTCAGTAACTGGATCTTACTAGAAAGCCCCCATGAAAACCATTCTGAAGTCACTCAGCAGCTACTGCAAACAACATCTCTGAGGAATGTTGACTCAGAAGTAATGTCAGATCACTCTGCTACTGAAATGGAAGGTCCTGCCCTTCTTTATACAAAAGCAGGATTTTATTTCAGCAGGAAGAGCAAGCTGATCTGACTGCATGTGGCCTCTGAATGCCTATTCAGCCTTAAAGAGGTGCTAGGAATGTGCCTTTCGGTAGTAGCAAGGGCCTAGGTCACCTTAGTGAGCCCAACATGCCTTAGGAAGGAAATTATATGCACTATCTTTGATACACTAACAACCTTTTTAGAATATTTTTATAATCTATTGGGTGAATAAACAAAGAGAAGCTTTTATTTCAAAACTATTTTTAAGCCAACACTATGTAAAAGTAATTGAATTTTTCAGGACTATCTCTTTTAAGATGAATTTTTAAAGAACTTCAACCTTATTCTCTTGCTTGGGTAGCTAGGTGTGGATGCATATCACATATGTGGATGCATATCACATTTCTTGCATTTATCTTCCAAGGTCCATGAACCTTCCAAGGTTCACAGACCTTGGAAGATAAATGCAAGAAATCTTTTCAGACTGGTAAAACACTTGAGGCTGGATGCTGTGAAATCCTGTTTTCTATTTGGAGTCCTTACTGTCTGTTCCACTGCAGGTTAGCCACCATTGTCTGTGCAAGGCCATATGAAATTGGGCATGGAAAAAGTCTCCCCTCATGAGGGGAAACAAAGTGACTTTGAGTTTTGGGCTGTTGTCTTTGCTCCACACTCATCTCCCCAGGAAACACAGCCAGTCTTCCCTGTTGTGAGCTCTCTGACAATTTCCCAGGGTATTCAGTTGGTTGCTTTAGAGAAGTTTTTTTCTTCTAAGAACTATTTTCTGTCTGAAATCAATTGCATTTTAGGGAGCAATCTCACTTGTGGTTTAATTGTCAATAACTGAGCAGACCTCTGACAGTCTTAAAACATATATTTCAAGTTTTTTGGTCCATGATTCTGCCTTTTTTTTTTTTTTTTTTTTTGAGGCTAGACTCTTTTTCTCCCCACACAGTACATTGGTCACCAGAGAGCCTGGTACAGGAATAATTGTTTTCAATTTTTTGCTATCTTGCATCTTTCAGCACATTGGGTTATATTTAATTTCCATTTGTAATCCCACTATGGGGGGACAATAACAGTTTCATGAAAACTGTTCCTGAAAGTTACAGAAATGTGACAAAATATTAGAATATCATAAATAAGCTAAAGGAAACCGGGTCTAGATTACAGGACTTTGTTATTTAATTAATATACTTTATGGATATTTAGTACTGGGGTGCCACAAGTCTGTCCACCCTGCTTTGAATAAGGAAGATATAACTTTACAGAAATCACTATTTGTGACATTAAAACAACTGCAGTGAAAGGAACCCCACTGAAAGTGAATGCCCAGGAAGAAGTGTAGTGTGAGTTTTGTGCCCACACAACTGAGACCAGGTAGAGCCCTGCAGGGAGGGACAGAACCTGGGGAAGGTGTTGAAGATAACAGGTTTTTGCTTGGGACAGAAACCTCATAATTGTGTTTAAAAATATTTTAAACCAAAAATACAAGTATCTTCGACTGCAGATTGAGCCATTATGATGTCAGGAGTAGTGTCATCATCCAGCTTTTCTTGGTAATGCAGTCCTTTACCTGCCTGGCAGGACATGGTCACTCCACTGTTTGGAAATCATGGACATGAAAACACAACTGGCATGAAGAGATTTTGTAGCACAGCTCTAGAAGTCACCTGACAAAACTCACTAATGAGAATTTCCAATTAAAATAACTGATTAGGAATTAATTCAGCCCATTGATTTACATTTTTATCTTGCTCAGTATACGAGTAACATTCTAGAGTGGTCTGCTCAGAAAGCAGATGCCAGCTTGGGTCAAGTTTGTTTCTAGAGCAGCCTCTGAATAGAGAGGAGGTTTTTTTGCTGCAAATGTCTGTGTGGGGATCTGGCCACTGGGGTATTAATGCCCATCATCAGAGAGCACGGAAGCAGCTCCTGGATTTAATGAAGACTTCAATGCTGTTAGCCCAAGGAAATATTGATTAAAGGAAAGCACCTTGGCTTGTGGAGCCTTATTTGCTCTGCCACACATCAGTCACATGCAGTTGGCCTCAAGAAAAAGGAATAATTTTGAATTGCTTTACATCAGCCTGTTCTTCCCTGTCCCAGCCCTGCACAGTGGAGGTTATCTGAAGGGCATCTACACTGAAATTGGCTGCAATAAAATTTTTAATACTGAAGTTGCATTAGACTACTCCAATCTCTACTCATTATAGTTACACAAACAAGTGCACAATATTTCAAATTACGAAAGCCATTAACTTTTAGGAACTAAGTGCCAATGCCATAAATTGAAAATCCGAGAATTTATTTGTTCAGGATAACACTGAGGAACAAGAAAAAAAAATCACGTATTTTAGCAACATCTCTATTATAACCAAAGACTCAGAATATTCCTCTTTTCTGTCAAAAACCTCCCATTATTTTACTTCCTGAAGTCATCTAATCTTTACAAATATAGTATTATTTCAAAGAAGATGGAGTAAACCTGCTGGCTGCCCCTTTGTGGGGAGGTCACAGAGCAAGAGACACAGGGAAGAAAGAGCACTATAAATATCTTCCATTTCTAGTCTCCAGATATCCTCTTTAACTACTAGAAATACTCTTGGAAATTTTTGCTTATTCGATCTTATTTTTTTCCCTGGAAACAGGTGATTTTTACTGGCTCAAACTGGCAAACACTATCACCTACATGAATTTCTCCACCTTTAAAAATAAATAGGTATAAAAAAAATCTCTTTAAGAGAAATGTATAAATTTCTGGAATGCTTATGTTGTAGTTTATTTTCAAATTACAATTAATGAATTAATAATAATTAAGCACTGAAGCCCTATCTACCCAGTTGTTCACTTAAAGACCTTCTACCCTGAGTAGGACACGTCCCCTTGCATTTTGTGCTCCTTGACCTGGGGATGTGCCACGGAGGTGAAGAGTCATGTGTTTGACAGATGGAAAGGTACAAATAACACGAACAAAGCATCAAAAAAACCCCCCAAACCCTAACCAAACCTGTTTGAGGTTGTTCCTTTTCCTTTTATTGGCTGCCTAGTGTCTAAACCCACCTGACGGAACCAGTAACAAGCATAACAACCACATGAACTGTGAAATAATACTGGGCAATAGAAATACACCATTACCACCTTTGCAAAACATATTCAACAAATAAAATACCTGAATAAAAAAATACAGAAATGAAAAAAATATTCATCAATTACACCCATTTTAATACAAATCTCAAGCTAATTTGGAGATACGTAATTTATCTGAGATAACTCCATGAAATGGAAACAGAACATTTCTCCAGTGTAAAGAGACCATAATAGTTTTATAGAATAAATCACTTGAACAGTAAGATCAGTTAGAAAACGTGGAAATAGTTCATAGGTATTGTGGTTTTTTCAACAAAAATGTTCTTCAAATATTTGGGTACTAGTACATCCCAAAAAAAATGAAACGTAGCTCTGCTCCAAGTGAGGGCTGTGGAAATGGAATCCTGCTATTGCAAACATTTCATTACTAGCTCCTCTAGACAAGAGCTTTTCATTTCCCAAAGAAAGCCTTTTTTTCTTCTAAATGTCAACCTGCAAATTTAAGTACAACAGCCAAACTGATTTTATCCTTCTCAATCATTATGTTTAAAAATTACAGTTATGGAGGTCAAGTTAGTCCTGACCTGCATAACGTGGTCACGTCCAGTTTGTTTGTCTGTAATCCCGCCCTCATTTCCATCTTAATTCCTAATAATTAGTGGCATATCTATCTTCCCTGTACGTTGTCAGCTGCAGTTTTCTCCATTCCAGACAGGGTATAGATCCTTACAGCCTTTTTACAAAATCAAATTGATTCCTACCAAAATGTCTCAATATCAAGACAGGAATCAGCTTTAAAGATGCTTTTCGCTCCCACTGAGGGTGCCTTGGCTCCTGCATGCCACAAAAGCCAATCCTGAACCTCAAACAAGATAACCTGAACAATTACAGCTCACATGGCAGAAATACCTTGCCATGGTGTCTTCAAAAACACTCTTAAGGAATAGTAGGACAATGGCAAAACAGCATCATTTTTTTAAACCTTCCAGAATATTCTCATAAGATAACTTAGACTCATAAGATAACTTATTGGAGTAGAAATTTGTCTTACTTCTTTTTTTCTGGTCTGCTCTTTGTTCTGCCTAGAGAAGAAGCATGGCAAATGTAAGCAAAGATGGGATTATCATCCACTTTGTTAGCAGGCTTGGAATGAGGCAGAAGAAATAGCAGCAGTTTTCCACACCAGTGCAACAAGCACTGTTGTTCTACTTTCCTTACTGCAAAGTAGAAGGAAAACACCAAAGGAAAGAGATTTAAAAAAAGAATTAAAATAGAAAAGGTATTCAACCTTACCTTGCCAGCCTGGTTTGCACACGGGTTTGACATTAACTCGTACCAAGACATCTTGTGTTGCATGCTTTTGCCCACAGTCAAAAGCTGTGACCATTATCTCGTACTGGTGCTGTTTATCATAGCTCAGTTTCTCGGTGTTCCTGATGTTACCTAGAGGTTCAACACAAGAAAACATTCAGAGATTCATTCTTGGCTGAGCACCCACAGACTGCAACATTTGGGTTGTGGTTCATCAAGTGCTTTGTGACTTTGAGCTCTTTGAAGCACACAGGATATGCAGAGGCAGGACGTTCTGAGGAATAGGAAAGATTTTCTTTCAACCCAGCAGAGAAATAAGAAGCTTGTAAGAAAATATAAGATGGGAGTGGTATAATGTGGGCATGGGTCTATCAGAAAACATCTGCTCAACAAAAATTTCTAAAGTAAGATGGTAAAAGTAATTAGCAGTTACATCTTGACATGTGAGCTATGAGTAAGTGCACCCTCCTTTTCCACATTTGTCACAATACCTGGCTTTAACAGCCACGTTCCTGAGATCCACTACTGAACCCAAGTATCTTCCTGTTTTCTCAAGAGCTATTACCCTGTAGGTGAGAGACATTTTAAAAAAAGGAAAAGCCCTAGAATCACCTCCTGCATTACAGTGTTTAACAGTATTTGATAGGACAGCACAGAGTTACCACATGCAAAATAAAACCCAGCAACAACAGAGTTTATCTGCTGAACATGACACACATATAATGGTAACAAATTACCTGCTTTGGGAACAAAGCAGTTCTGATGAACTTGAAAGTTCTGATGAACTTTCAGAAGGAAAGGGAAAGATCTTTGAATAGTTCCTGGAGGACTGGGACAGCACCATGCAAAACACATGGACTTTCTATTAACTAGTTCCGCATTTTAATTCTGTCCATTTCCACTGAAGTTTACCTTTTGCACAAGTTGAAACTTCATCCTGTTTAATTAATTTCATGCTTTTGCTCAGGGCTGTTTGTTTTACCATCTCTTTGAATGAGGATTTTTGTTCTAGAATTCAAAGAACAAACTTACTCTGCAGCAGTGCTACACGTAACATCTGCTTGCAAGCAAGGATCAGCAAAATCCAGTTGTTTGTGCTAAATTTGAAATGGGCAGCCCCCCATATCCTGGAATTTAGTCAGATGCAGGGAACTGGTCCCTACAGGTGCTGGCCAAAGTCTCTTTTGTTAGGCACAAAACATTAGGTTTGGTTTGAGCATTTGGGTTTCATTTTCTTTTTTCTTTTCATTCAAGTGAGTGAGAGACAGGAGAAAGCAGACAAATGCAGCTTCTTAAAAGAAGTCTTTTACTAAAGCTCCATTAATTTGACAAGTGAAGACTTTCAGCAGGTGTGTCTCTGCTTCACACTCCTTATCTTGTCAGAGCCCACCACTTTGCTTTTTACTACTACTACATTAAAGCCAACTTTAGGAGTTTATTGAAATGGATGCAAAACTTTCCAGGTCAGGCCTGAAGAAAGGCTGTTTGCATTTATCACCACCTTCAGGTTCAAAACCTGTAGTTTAAACAGACCCTTGCATCTGCAGTTACAAGTCAGGCTCAGTACCCCATTTACTGCTGAGTCTGAGTCTCTCCCGCTCCCTTTGTGAGCAGGGCACACAGGAGGACAAGCCCTTCCCATATTTTAATGTCTTGAAAGGAGAAGTGGAATGAGCTGCTGAAGGCTGATGTGAACACAGGGCAGTGTCCTGCAGACTCTGGGGTTCTCTCTCTGGGGTATCTCGTCGCCAGGCATTTTAGGCCTGCCATGGGCACAGCTCCTTGCTCCCCACAAGAACTGCAACAATCACATCAACTACTGCATTGAGTTTTGAGTTAGTGATTGACAAAACAATCTAATCACCCATTTTACTATCTTGAGTTGCCTAATTAGTGGCTGCCTAAGAGGATTTAATGAAAAACTGCCACTGTATGTGTATAGTTAATTACTGACTTTACATCTGCTCAGTTCTTCTGTCCTTTCTGCATTATAGTATTTCGTACATGAATCTTTATATTTCCCTATTTGGTTCTTCTTGGTATTATTTTAGCCTGTGATCAGCAACGATAATTCTCAGGAAACCAAAACTGTCCAAATTTCCATTAGCAGGTTGCAAAAATTTGTGTGGCACATTCACTGTCCTACAGGATTTATAAATCATTACAACATATTTACATTTCATTAAGTCTACCTTCCAAGATCTGTATTTCATTATGGCCATTTCAAATTTGGACTACAAAGATTCTGACTCTTAGGTGTTGTTCTGGAAGGTCATTTGGATGACTTGCAGATGTTATCCAACAGTTTGTTGATTTCCTAATATTTTTTCTCTTACCTCTGATGCTTTATGATTCTTTGGGTTTTTATAATTTAATCAATACAATTAAAAAACAGACACAGAAGGAAAGCACTATAAACACAGACCAACTAAAGTTTTAGAGATGATAGTCTGAAAGTTTCTGTTTACATCTCACCCATAGACAAAAAAGTAATTAATAACATTAAAAAGAGAAAATTTTAATGGAGAAGTAAGTACATTTCTACACAATTCAAAATTAGGTCATGCATTTTTTATTCAGTCTTCCTAAATATCTGCCTTTTCCTGGAAATACCCAGAGCTATAACCAGTTTTCAAACAACAAAAAGCAGATCAGTGACTAGAGGAATATAAAAAGACCTTCCTAAGGATACAGACATTTACACCTCTGTTTCTTCAAGGTCAGTTTTAGGGATAGATGGATATAGACATCCCTCTTTTATGGCTTTTCCACCTTACTTTGGAGCACACACAAGAATGGGGAAAAAGTTGACTGATTTAGTATTGCAATTCCCTCCTAAATTCCACAGTTACTAAATCAATTGATCTTCTTGTCAAAAGGTCAATTTTTAAATTATAATGGAAATATTCTGTCATTTAATAAATGTATAAATATCAAATGCAGATGCTCAGCTATAAAGTTTGGCTTGACTTTTCTGGCAATATGAAGTGTGCACAGCTCCTACTGCAGCTCTGGGTGCTGTAAAGGGGGATCTTGTGAGGTCCTGTCCTGTCTAGGATTTGTAACCTGATAAAATCTGTATGGACTGGACAGGTCCCTGTCTCATCTTCACATTGAACAGTTTGAACACGCATTTGTGAAGTGATTCCCAGAGCTGGGTGGCACATAAGAATCATTCCCATTTTTAAGGTGAGTCTAGGTCAGAGCTGTGACAGAATTTGTATTTATACCTGAGTTCCCAGATCACCTGACCATAATCCCTGGCAAATAAAGCACAAGGTATGTGAATAAAAATGGGTTTTGCTGGCATTCCGACAGATCTGTGCATTGTGATTTAATTTTTCTGTCACCTGAAAAAAGCCTACACAATATTGCTGCAGTAACTGACTTGATTTGGATTCTCTGCTAAGGATAAAATGAGATTAATCTGCATGCAATACTACTTTAAAACATATTACGCCTTATACCTTTATCACAGTTCTTTGCACTGTGCACAGATGTTGGAACCCAGGACATCTCTCTGGATGCCCAGGATGGCTCAAGATCCTGGCAGGGGCTCAGAGACCCTGGCAGGAAGCCGAAGACACTTGGGAATTTGATCTCAACCCATGGAGCAAATTACCAACTTTATATGAAGAATTACAAGTCACAAAAGTTTAAGTAGCATAATAGTTGTTGTCACCAGGTGAAAAGTGGAATTTTGAAGATTTTCACTATAGTGGTCTAGGAGGCAAGATGGAGGGATTTGGGCGTTGTCCTTCTTCCTTCTTCTTCCTAGCCTCCATCTTCTTGGTGATGGTGGCGCTTTGGGATTGGTGTAAAGTAGAAAGTCACTGTCTAACACAGGTGATAGGTATTGGAACGTAACTGTAAATATTGAATACGTAGTTTATAGTATAAAAGATAACACCGGCCCCGTGGGAGGGCGGTGTGCCTCGGACTGACCTGCTGAACAGACCTCGGCAGGCCAGACAGAAAATGTTTTAGATAAGAAATAATAAACAACCTTGAGAACTACAGCCGAAGACTTCTGACTCCTTCTTCGACAGCTGGATTGGGGAAAAGAGACTTTTAATACTTCTCGGGGTCATCCTGACCAGAGGAGATCCCGAGACACAGACCCTTTGCAAAGCATAGATTTGTCCTCTGCCTTTACATGACTGTATTGTATGACTCAGAGTTCGTTGCCCTCTGAGTTGGCTCATCATATACAAGACTGAATTTTACTAGTGCTATAGTTTCAGAACACAAAGTAATTTTATCCACAAGGAAATCACATACCAAGCGCCAGAGTTCCCAAATGTGACTGGGAAGTTTTATATTACCTTCCCAAAGTGCCTAAGCTACAAGGACCTGTAGAAAATACCCCCAGGCTGATGCTGCTTCCTGTGCCCACCCCCTCCTGCCTCCCATGGAGTGGGGATGAGGTAGCCTGGGCACCAACACAGCCTGCAGGGCTCTCTCTGCTGCTCTGCAAACCTTTCCCCAGGTGTAATACAATTTTTCAAGGCCAAAAAAAATGTTCCATGCATGGATCTAGGGACAAGAAGTAAGTTTTACCTAACAAGACACTGACCTGCCAAAAGAAAAAGAGCTGATTGTATAGCTTCATCTTTTTACAGACCTACATTTAGGGTTAGTTAGTTTCATATGTTGGTGATGAAAAAAGTCCACCATCTGGGGCAGACAATGGCATGTTTTCCTCACAATTCACCCCCACCTCCATCATTTGGGGCCCCCTGCAATATTTAGATTTGATTTTAAGGTTATTTGCTTATCCTCTTTCTGAGCAATGAAGCTCCACATGCAGGTGACTGAAAAGCATAAAAAAATAATAACCTGCAGAAGACACAAGAACCTAGATTTGTATTTCACAATGGCTAAAAATACCCCTGTTAACAAAATCCTAATTAGCACAGTATTATCAGACAGTCCCAGGCATCTCATACATCTATTTTAACCACCCTATTGGGAACAAAAATGGGCATGTTTCCAAAGAATTTGCACCAGAGAAAGTTTCTATCAGCTGCCATAGAGAGACATTCTCCGCAGTGAAATATGTTGGAAGCAAGCAACGTATTTTTTTCATAAAATAAAATTATAGTCATCTATTCAAACTTTGTCTCTAATCCCAGTGGGTTTAAGCAATTACCATTGTCTTAAAAAATTGCAAATTAGACTGCAATTACTGTTGGTTTTGGCAGCACTGTTCTTTTAGTGAACAAATAGATCAAAAATATTAATTGAACTCATACCAAGAAACTGCAAGTATTACAACCTTATACCAATTATTCACTGCAGGCTTTAAAGTCACATTTAAATCAATTATTTTCTCATTGCCTTTGCTGAAAAGCAGGTCCCAGCCACATGAGGACAAAGATGTAACCAAGCACTCCTGACATTTCCTATACTTTTGATCATATCTCTGACTATAAAAAGATATGAGCACTCCTGAGGCAGCTGCTCTGTGTGATAGGAGCTGAAAAGGCATGAGTAGTAGAAATGACTGCTGTGTATCACACCGATTTCAGGGTATTCTCTGTCCCTTATATCTGCCACAAACCCTGCAGGAAACTGCGAGACAACGTGTGACTTCTCTAAGTACCCACCCTGCACACAGACAAGTCACGTGGAACCTTGGAAAAAAATGGATTCAGAGACATAGAGAACTTTCTTTTATGGGAAATCTCACAGTTAGAAAAAAAAAAAAAAACCATGGTGAGGAAAATCTTCTAGGGAATTGCTTCCAAATATGTCCTTCCAAATGCCCACTTGCTGTAAAAAATCCTTTGTACAGTTCTCTGGATTCTCAAAAATCCTCAGGGTTACTGTGCCAGCTGCCCTTATTTACCCAAACACAAACATATTTCTCATGATTGCACTTCCCATACCATACGCTTGCTTCCCAGTGTGTGATAACAAGATGGATTTTTCCCCAAAGTCATGAAAATTTATTGATGTAACATGTTATTGTCTTCTGATGCTCATCTATGCATTGTGCAAGAACTGAACCAATACAGATGAATAATTTTTGAACAGGTAAAGAGTTTTTATAAAACATCCCAATATGAAAATGACTGCTTAGAGAAAACAGTAGCTCCATGCACGCTTTCAATTTACAATTTGGCCAAAAATCAGATTTAACTTCCAAACTGTACTCTCCTCCTACAAACATGGATTAAATGCTTCTGCTAGGAGAGATAAATCAGAGCATTGCTGGGTATGCTCACAGGGTGTTTCTTCAGGGGAAACTATTTTGTATCATCTGAAGCAAGCAGAGAATGGGAGGAAGGACTTTCCACACACTTTTCATGCTGCTCAGTCACCATTCCCAAACTCCCATGTTCTTTGCTGATCCAGGAAGCTGTGCATTGTGCAAGAACTGAACCAATACAGATGAATAATTTTTGAACATGGCAAAGAGTTTTTATAAAAACTGCTGTTTTATCCAAAAATAAAAACTTAATATGGTTTCTTATTTTCACTAAAATATAAAGTATGTACCTCAGAGAAACAACTAAAACAAACCAACAAAAACTTAAGAAATGGTACTTATTCTCCAAAGTACATTTTCTTCCATGCTGCAGAATAATGGATCCACTTCAGGAAGCACCACAGTTGGACAGGTCTGTGGACCTGTGATCCTAAAACAATCAATAAACACATGCAGAATATTGCCATATTTGGGTTCTGCTTCAGGAAATTCAGGGGAATGGGACTGGCTGTAATCCAGTAAATAAACCCTGCCTTGGGGAATACATGCTGCCTTGGGGAATGCCATCACTTGGATGGGAAACAGGATCTGAGACAATTAGGAGAATGGACCGAGTGACGAAGAATCATGTTGCTCACCTAAATCTGGTGGTTTAATTTCCACAGGAGATTACTGCATCGCTTTCTGCCCCAGTGGTACACAAAAGGGATGGAATTGCTCAGTGTGAAGATTCCTCTGTTCTCAGAGATGAGAACAGGATTTCCCTCTGGAGTTCCCTCTCCAGGCAGGTGATCAGCTCGTGCCCCCAAGCACTGCCAGCCCTGCGGACAGCCCTGCTGTGGCAGCACTCACCGTTCCTGTCGATGGCAAAGGGAACATCTGCGGTGACAATCTCGTAGTTGCAGATCTGGCTGTACTGGGGGGAGCAGTCCTCGTCTGTGGCTTCCACCTGCAGGATGCTGTCGTAGATCTTCCCCTCTGTCACTGAGGCCTTGTACATGCTCTCCTTGAATGCGGGGGAGAACTCATTGACATCCTTTACCTGGATATGGACTACTGCCCTAAAACAGGCACAGAAAATGTCAAAGAGAAAAGTTAATTTATTGTGACACCTTACTAACAGTTTATTTTCAAAACACTTAATAAGACTAACAAAACATATCTAGAAAACTATGTAAGCCCCTATTAAAATGAGATATTAGAATTTTTATCTTTCATTTGCCCAATTTAGTGTCTTAATGTGGCACTAGGTAAAAGTCCATTGCCATGGCTTGTAGGGAGAGAGTTTTGCGGTGTTCCCTATTAAAATCTGCCTTTAAAAAGGAACCCCAGCAGAAAGCCAATGATATCATTACACAGTAAAATAAGACACAATCATCTTCCTTACCCACTACCTAAAAACGGGCAGTTTACAAGCATTCTTCCATATTAAGTAAGACTCTCACCTTCTGCTGATGACAATTATCTAATCCTTCAAGTAGTTACAACATTGCACATGTAGCCCACCAAGGCCTTTGGTATTTAGTGAGTAAAGCCCAAAAGCCTTGCTTTGGAAGGCTTTGCTTTCTGGTTTGATAGGCAGGGTGACAGATGGACACAAAAGGGATGCTCTGGAGCAACGGCAGAGTTGCAATAATGTCTGGGACCTCAGGCAGCATGGCTGAGGGTTTGCTACTAGACAAAGTCTGGTGGCAGTGGGCCAGACTTCATTTAGTCAAGATTAGACCAAAATTTTCCACAACTGGAATTCTACCAGATTATTACTGATGTTAGAGGGGAAAACATAAAAAACCTGATATTGTGAAGCAAAACCTGTGTCTGCGATTTGATGTTATCTGCTATTGCAGGCTTCCTCCTAATTCTGTATTCTTTTTAAATATCCTGAAAACTTCAGCTTGCATTACAGATCTGATTAAATTTTTAATTGTCATATGTCCTGGATGAGCAAAAGGAAGAATGATTACTATAAATCATTTATTATAATGTCTCTCAGCAAAATGAACTATTTGTACAGCACTTATACATCTACATGAGCTAAATTCATCTTTAATGACAAATGATCTAGAGCTTAGTGTCATGAATTCTAAGGGAAAAAAATGCACTGTGCCACCTAAGCTTATTCAGGGAATTGTCTCCACAGTAAAAAGTATCACCTACTGACCTTCAATACACTCCTCTTCAGAGGACTTCACTTTCTCTGAGACTTGCTGGACAAAAGCTGAGGTCAGACACCATTCGAACATGACACTGCTCAGCTTATGGCATAGATGTACTAATAAAAGGGGATGATTCCTCTTTTCTTACCATTTGAAATGAGATGAACAGAGAAAAAACCTATTTAAAAATTGCAAATATCAATTGAAAGCCAGTTCCTATGACTTGGATGTATTTAGCATGAAAGCACGAATGGAAAATATAAACCAAAACTGAGATGCATTTATCCACCTGAACGGGGATCCTGTCCAAAGCCTTAACTGAAGCAAACAAAAAGGAATATATTTTCTAATAGAAAAAAGGAATGAAAAAATGGGAGGAATATTGCAACTGTGATTTATCTTTATTTGCTTTCTACCTGAAATAACATAGACTGTGGAGCAAATGTATGCTAAAGCAAAAAAATATTTCTTCTCATTTTCACTCACTTGTGAGATTTCTTCCAGTTTGTTCCACCTGGTCCTGATCCACAGTCATAGGCCTGGATGATGAATGTGTATTCCTTCTGCAGCTCACAGTCAATGGGACTCTTTGCTCGAAGCCAACCTTCTCCAGATGTCTTGTTCAGCACAACGGCCTCGAAGGGCATTTCTTGCCCATGGATTTTAAAAGCACAAATTTCACCTGTGAGGAACAGCACAAAACAATCATAACTAGTGTGGGGGGGTAGGAGTGGGTCTGAGTCTTATGCACTGGAGAGACACCTGCAAAGTTCATTTGTGTTTCTCCTGCTTTTCCAGAGGAGGGAAATACAGACTCAGGGACCAGGTCATTGTGTATCCAAAAGGGCCATTAAGCAGGTGTTGTGCAGAGGGAAGCGCTGAGCGCAGCTCTAGGAACATTCCTCCCTCTTCCTCTGTCAGTACTAAATGGTTTCTGAAAGCCCCAGAGGCCATTCCATATGGTACCAACAGCAGTGGTGAGCTAAATTATATTTGAGCTAAATTAGGAGACTGTATTTAAAGAAAATAGCACAAAGAAAAATAGATAATACTTGAGAGGTGGTCTTTTTTAAACTGCTGTCACTCCTTGAGCCACTTGAGCTGCCAGGTGGTAACAGACATGCAGATTCTTGCAGTTTAGTTTCCCAACACTGGAAAAACTAATGGTGCAGAACATGGGCACATTCAAAATACATCCTGCTTTATTTACAGACATCCATCATCTTTGGATCAGAAGCAGTTGAAGGCACACAGAAAAGTGTCCCTTTTGGACATCTCCGTTACCCACCCACATTCTCACTCATGTATGAGTGCTTTCGTGGCAGCAGCTCACTCTGCCTCCAAACTGTTTCCTGACATAATAGATCCATAGCATCTCTCAGAGGAGTACTAGAGAACAGAACAGATAGGACTAATAAAATTGATTTGGTCACAAAAGACAGCATAAAGGATCTTGTATGAGAATATGAGACTGGAAAGGAAAAAAGACCCAATTTCTGGTGTTCCTTTTTTTATCCTTCATAATGAGAGCAAGGATATGCACACGGAGTTAATTTTATTTTTAGTTCAGTCTCTATAACCTGCTCCCATGCAAGATACTCCAGAATCCAACTTTAAAAATGAAATATTTATATAAAGATCAATATGACTTAAATATTTTTATGACATATTAAAAACATGCTCTTTTATGAGCAAGTCAGTCTCAGGACATGCATTATAGATTCAAAGCCATCTCCCACTCACATAATCCTTTTCCATTTATTTCCAATTTACAGTTGCTTTTGAAAAGCTCCTTGCCAATCATATTTGAGCCAAGTGCCAAATTCTAAATTAATTCTGAATCTATGATGTCTAATTCAGGCCTGATTCCTGTTGCTCTATTACAACATTACTTGTTTATTGCTTATTTTTGCAAAAGAGAACAGACAGTGACTTTGTACAAGTACTGAAGTTCATAAATCCTATTATGTGTGAAAAATAAAAAATTGCAAGGGCGTGTGTGCAGGGAGGGTGGGGATTAGGTATGGAGGTATAAGCACAGAATTTTTAGAATATTTCCTCAACTATCATCACACTGGTTTCCCTTTATGACCACAGGAGCTGAAGCTTTGCTCAGCTACATCCACTGACATTCAGGCAGATGAATCCCACACTTAACAATTTCAATCAGTCCTGTGAATGCCTTTAAAGGATCAGCACACAGTTGTTTTGGTAATTGTGAGGCACTGAAAACATACATTAAGCATTGCTTAAACATTTTCCTGCTGCCCCCTCTCCCTCCAGGGGTGTGAAAGGGCTGTGGAGTTTCTCAGGACACAGCTGTGCTCTTTTCCAGGCTCTCTGCTGTTCACCCTCAGTGAGCTCAAATATTTGGGCTACAGAAGAAGCAATGGACTTTAGCCTGAGAATCAGATTTTCAACAGGACTAACACCTTGCACATCCATAAAAGCAGGCTGCACAGTGATAATGAACCGTGCACAGGGGCCAAAGCACGAGACGAAGAGAAGGCTGAAAGGAAGCAGCCTGTTCAGCTTGAACCACAGGCACTGATCACTGAGTTTGCATCCCACTGCTGTCACACACAACCTTTGAAAAATATGATCTGCATTTCCTTGTAACTTCAAAACAAAACATTCATCTAAAATGATATTGTGGATTTTAGTTTTTACTTTAATTGAAAACAAAATAAACCAGTGCAAACATGGGAAATCTAATGGCAAATACTGTTTGTTGTGTTCTATAAAGACTGGCCTTCATAGTTTCTTAATAAAGTTTTCCTCAGATGCACAATCCATCAACAGAAATCCTAACTTCAGTGGTTTGTGTTTATTATTTTATTGATCCACTGTTTGATCGCAAACAAGACAGCATTTGCAGACGTCCAAGCTACAGTTCTTAAAAAACAGAAATAGCTCCGGGCAGATAAAAGTTCTCTCAGCCCTAATCTAAATATTAATAATTTTTCCCTCTCCAAAGGCAGAGCCTTAATGCAAAGCAATCACAGAAGCAGCACATGTTCCAATTAGTTCTCATCAAATATTTTAGAAGTCTCTATATCCCTCTCCTATGCAAGATACTCCAGCTTTAAATATAACTCCAATTTTGCCTCCATATTTCAATTTTCCAAAGATAAAATAATGACAGCTGCCTGGATAAGATGAGATATTTGTAAACACACTGCAAAAAACCCACATGCACTTCCAGAATGTGGCTACAGAAACCTGCTTATTTGAAAACAACTGGAAATGTTGTTAAAAATTGGGTAAGATGTTTTTTCAAAAGAAGGGCTCTACTGCTGTTTCCAAAGAAATGAACTAACACTGTCAAACAATTTAAATGTATAGGCTCATGACTTTCTAAAAAGGTGTCTTAATGGCTGTATTTCAAATGGAAATGATAACAGAGTTGTAAGAGCTGTAACAAAGCAGAAAATTAACTAAGGTCCACTGCCAGACACACAGACATTGACGGATATATATATATATATATATATAAATACTCTTATTAAGCATTACAAACAATGTCTTTACAATGTAACAGATACTATTTCTCATTATTAAATAGAGCTACAGGGCTTTATTTCAATCCAGCTAAGTTAACCCCATACTGTCAGAGATCAGACAGCTACAGAAGCTGAGCTGGGCAGCATCGCAGAACTTTTGGCCCTGGTACAGTGAGAGCCAAGGGAGAGATAAACTCCAGGCAAGAACAGAAATGAAGACATCATGTCTGGTCACTCTGACCCTCTGACACTGTTCTGGCGAGGGGAGATGCAAAAAGGACTTTATGGCAAAAGAGATAACAAAGGACATTACTAGCACAAGAAGAATAATCAGAAGATTGTGTTTCTAAAGGGGACCAGGACAAAGGGGTCGAATTCTGGTAAACTGTGTGATAAATGGTTTTGCTTTGCTGGCATAAGTGGAGTCCGTGGCAGTCAATCCTTGCACCAGACATACATGATGTCAGTGGGAACTTTGGCAAGCTTATCTTACTTACTGGGGTCTTAGGTAAGTATGGGTTTGTAAATTACTGGAGGAAAGGGAAGCAGGATTTCTCTCCTACTCAGACTCACCTCTGAAGTTGCAAGACCTTTGCACCACCTTCTTCCCTTCCCCTTTGCAAGGCTGAAATAATGAGAGTGCAGACTGGGACATTGTTTTTCTCCTAACAGACAACCCAGCAAAATTCTGTGCTTTGTTCTTAATTTCATTTGAATGGGTTTGTGAGCAGGTGGATATAGGATTTTGTGATCATAGAAATCGTGGTAGCACTGAACTGCTAAAAAAAGGATAAGCTGGTGACACCATGTAAAGGTAGAAGCATGCTCATGAAATCCTACAGCAATTGCCAAGGCAGAGGGAAAATTTCTCCCAGGCCAGGAGGCACACTCTGAGGGCTTCCAGTTGCTTCCTATAAAACCTTCTGGTTTTACAGGGCTGAACTCTGCTGAGAGTTTCACTTTAGTACATGTTTTAACTAAAGTCTGGACATGTTTTTTCTTCAAATCATTCACGCGATCATTAGCCAGAAGCACCTATTAATTTTGAAGTTTACATTCTTTTAAGTTTTAAAGCCTTGATAGATCCATATGTTACTACTCCAGGGGGAATAAGGATATTATTTCCTCTGTAAAAATTATAATAGCCTGAAAAAAAGCTACTGATGATTCATAATTACTGAAATATAACCAAAAAATTTCCACTGTTTGGAAATTGATAAAGACAATGCTTCACATTCAGTCACATTTGCATGCAAGATTTAGTAATTATAAGCATTGATCAATAAAATTGTATTACAAATTACTCTTTTCTATGAAACACCAGATTCATACTTCTTGAAGTAAAATAATAATCCCCAGTGTTACTCCTTTAATAACTACACAGCCTCATTCACTTGAATTCAATTTCAGAAGTTATTAAGAAACACTGGATTATTTGGCCTTTCACAGCTCCCTTTGCTACTTCCTTATCCTTCAGTACACCAAGAATACTGAAGCCTTCAGGTGGAAGCTGGGATCTCTGACATTCCATCGTTGGCATCAATAGTTACAACAGGCACCAGCTGTATGTGAATCAGGAATCAGCAAGTGCTGTTTCAGGGACTGGCTGAGGTTCAGCAAGGCCAAGCACTGGGCCACCCCAAGCCTGCAGCGCTCCAGGCTGGGCACCGGGGCTGACAATGCCTCCCAGAACAGGACCCAGAACAGGTCAGCAGCGGCTGAGCAGGAGCCAGGTTTGCCCGGGTGGCTCAAAAGGCCAAAGGCAGCTGGCCTGGAGCAGCGTGGCCAGCAGCACCAGTGACTGTCCCCCGAGGGACAGCCCTGGGGAGGCCACACACCAAACCCCGTGCCCAGTTCTGGGTCCCTCACTGCAAGAAAGACCCTGAGGGGCTTTCTGAGTGACTCCAGAGAGGGGAACGGAGCTGGGGAAGGGCTGGAGCACCAGGCTGGTGAGGAGCAGCTGAGGGAGCGGGAGGGAGGCTCAGCCTGCAGAAATGGAGGCGCAGAGGAGACCTCATTGCTCTCTGAGAGGAGGCTCTCGTGGGATGGGAGTCAGTCTCTTCTCCAAGGTAATGACTGATAGGGTGAGCAAATGGCCTCAAGTTGCACCAGGGAAGGTTTAGATTGGATGTTAGGAAAAAAATGTTTCCACCAGAAGTGTGGGTCAGGCACTGGCACA